GGTTCTTCTTCTTACTCTGAATACTCTACATCCCCCAGGACTGCAGCAGTGCTGAGCAGCCGGAGAGTTTCGTGAATCAGTGGTTCATTCAACGGGAGCACAAAGAAGATAAGCAGAGCTGAAACTGAGATAACGTTGGCTTGTCCACATGTATGTAACGAGGAAAATGAATTATTCACAGATGGGTGCTGGAGAGATTTTCAAGGATGGTAAGGGTGCAAAGGCACCAAGGTCACAGGTGTGAAAGGGCAGTGGAGGCAACGTCCCGACTGGAGCTTGACCTTGGGGGTGCAGGACTGAAAAAGGGCAGAGCCTTAGCTGTTGGATTTGGGGGGCTGCAGGCAGCAAGCCTGGCTCTCTGGCAGCGTGACTAAGATGAACTTTCAGCAACACCATGAAGGCTCTGAGGCACTAGAGGGTAACAGATGATAGGACGAGGGGGAATGGTTTGAAGCTGCGCCAGGGCAGGTTTAGGCTGGACATTAGGAAAAACTTCTTCCCCAAAAGGGCTGTTAGGCTCTGGAATGGGCTGCCCAGGGAGGTGGTAGAGTCCTCCTCCCTGGAGGTATTTAAAAGAAGGATAGATGAGGTGCTTAGGGACATGGTTTAGTGGTGGGATGGCAGGGTTAGGTTAACGGTTGGACTCGATGATCTCAAAGGTCTTTTCCAACCAAAATGATTCTGTGATTCTGTGATTCTGTAAAATAGTGATCTGTTCTTGATTCAGGAGAGCTGAGGAATTGTACAGCATCAGCTCATGCATGACCTCCTGGATTAAATGGGTGGCCTTTTCCTTAGGTGAGTTCATGGCAAATATTTTGGTAGTATTTAAATATTTCCTACTCTTCTGGAAGGGAAGGATAGCTTTATTTCATTCCATGAATAGTAAAAGCATCTCTTGTAGATAAAATCCATTTGAGGGCTGTTTCGTGCACAATTTTTCCTGACCTCAGGGCCTGCAAAAGAGGGTTGCTGTTAGTTGATTCACTAATAGTTTGATAATGAAGCTGTCTGTCACGACTGGGTGTCGTTTCATCATATGATGATGTGGCATTAATTCCCACCACCATATTCTTGGGAAAAGCGGTGACAGAAAACTGCCTCTCCCCTGTCCTGTGACTTGCCTCCCCATGTGCCAGGTGGTGATGAGGGCTTTTCTGCATTCAGGGTAGGATGCCAAGTTGTTTGTTCTCATATTCATTCACCTTTTAGTTAGCATTTTGGTAAAAATAATATCAGCTTTCCATCAGCTTTGACTTTGCTGCCATGTGTTTGTGCTCTCATTTTTATAATGTAATCCATGTGGCAAAAGTATTCAAATGTAGTAAAAGTCCTGCATGAAGAAATAAGCCAGGTATTTCTCAATTCCTGGCCCAATGAAGGAAGGAAGAACTTTTCTTCAATCTGTATTATGGAGAATTTTTTGGCGTTTCTACCTTCAAGTCAGTTGCTTTCCATAGAGCTTTCAAAAGAGGAGGTGGAGGGGTTGAATCTTTGTAATTTTTCAAAATGTCTCAATTTAGACTGGAAACTTTTAGAAGGAGGCACATATTTTTTTCTGTCCTGTTTCCAAAAAGTAGTCCGATGTGGAAAACATGCCCTGGCCAGTGTAACTCCAATCTCTGATCAAGCTTCTTATTGTTGTAGTAGAGATATTGACCCAGTCAGTGTCAGAGTCCCACTGCTCCTGCAGATGCAAACATCCAGGACCATATTTTCTGTGGTGGTAACATAAAGTTTCTTTTTTTTTATGTGCTTAATGTTTTATAAATTTTTCTTATGATAAAAAAAAAAGCAACCCAAATCAAACACCACCCCCCCCCCCCCCCCCCAAATACAGGAGCAATGAGAATTTCAGAATTGAGGTAATTTTGAAACCACATCTATCCAGTACATGCCAATAATACTAAAACTATTTAATATTTTCAGATGGAACCACTTAACATGTACCACTGTATTGCAGCAGGAAAAAAAAATTGTTTTCAAAGAATAAATATTAGCTGAGGCTTACATACACTTGTGACACCTTACCGCTTTACATTTAATTTGTGTTTGATTAGTAGATAACTCGGGTATAATCAATTCAGTAACATGCTGTTCCCTCTGTCATGTGGCAAATAATGTTTGGCAATAAGTCACTTGAATGATTTTATACTAAATTGAATTCCTGTATTGCCATTTAGACTAAGTAACCATAAAATGCTAGTGGTTTACATTCTGCAGGGTTCAGATACATCTTAATGTTAGGAAATACGATTTTGTGCTCTGCATCAGTCCCTCAGGGATCTTCTTCTGATGTCTTAAGAAAAATCAAGCTGATCTAACATTAGCAGCTTGCATAGACAAAAGGGAAGAACATTGAATTCAGAGGACCGAAGTTCTGCCTCTGTAGGACCTAAATTACTTCCCCTTCCCATGTGTAAAAGGGGAGCAAAGACACTGGTTTATTCTGTAAAACACTTCTGGATTCATGGAGAAGCTGTTGACAGGCAGGTTGTGGCAAAAGCCTTTTCAAACAAAATGCTCCTGAACCACTCTCAGGGCCAGGAGAAGTAATACCTAGGGGCAGAGGTGTATCCTCTCTAAAACTGCATCACCTGAATGACATAAAAAAGTACTGGGACGGGATAAGATGGATGCGTGAAGTCAGGTGGGCATGAAGTATCCCCTCTATGCCAAAAAAACTTAAAGGCAAAACCACAAATCTGCTTTTCAGTGGCTTCATTCTTCATACAAAGAGTAGAGCAGCTGGATGAAATCTCTTCAACGCATCTCTCTGGTGACAAAGAAAAAGGTGGTTTTGGCACTGGCTGCCTCCAACACATCGGTCTGTTGGGTGTAAATGGCGT